CATCGTCCGTTTAACTTTTCTTGATTATGCAAATGCTTCCGGATCACTTGACCGCGGCATTCTCATTCAATGTCTTTCGGACTGTGGTCTGGCACCTAATTTACTGAATGTACTAATTAATTACTTCACTCATCGGACGCAATACACTTTTTGTAACTGTAAATCGTCCTCCATGCTAGAAGTTAACTCTGGAGTTTTCCAGGGTGCAATTTTGTCTCCATTCCTTTTTTCACTGTGTATTAAGGACCATCTCATCCCTCCCAACTTTATCGCCTGCAAGTATGCTGATGACTTGGTGGTCGGCTGTCCCTCAACTATTCCTGATTGTTTTTCTTTTTCTCAACTTCAAGTTTGTCTCAATGACATTTTTAGTTGGTCGAATTCCCGACCTTTAATGCTAAATGTAAATAAATGTTCAGATGTTTCTTTTAGCCTTTAAACAGGCATGTCTTACCAAACCCTTTTGAATAATCAGCCTGCACTTTCTGTTAGTGGTAATACCATCCACACACAATCTTTCTTGGTCCAAACATGTTGAAATCATTTGCATTCGGGTTCGTAAGCTATCATTCTGCGCCTTTAGGCTTGAAAAGCTCGGCGTCCCCTCAAATGTCATTCTTAAATTTGTGACTGCTTGCATTCTTCCGAATCGGTTGTACTGTTTCCCCGTATATTTTCCTGGTCTGAAGGAGAAATACTTTATTCTCTTTTTCAGATCTTTTAAACTTCTTACTCGTTGCAGCGGTATTTCAAAGACCGTTTTGGTTGAATTTATTGTTAGCAAATATCTTGACTCATGCGATCGATTTATCAGCCATATCCTGTCCAACGAAGAACACTGCCTGCACTCCCATCTCAATAAATTGGTGGCACGTCCGGGTACCCGTTCCCAATTTCGAATTCTTTATGCACGCACCACCACACATAAAACAGCATGATCCCTTATTTTGCTCGCATCCTGATCAATTGAGCAAATATTATTGCTGACTTGAACAATCATCTCTCACATTAGGATTTTACGTAAACCCGTCTGTTTGTCGTTTAGTAAATGTATATTTCTTCTTTTTCCAATACTCAACGTTTTCTCCCCGCTGTAACATGTCAAAAATGCTCAAAATTCATCCTATCGTGTGCATAAAGCTTTACTTGATTTGACTTGACTTGACTGGTGATCGGGTCAAGACGGGGAAGAGAGGTTTCAGGCCTCGCCAGGATTTCTATCATCGGTAAAAAACACGAGACGTTTGGGTCGCTGCCTGTGGGCCTGCCACTCAACATTGAGTTTGGTTAGTGAAACGGTCCAATCGATGGAAGATTTCCTAGAGCTGAGCTTTTAGTTTTTTAGCACCGCAAGCTGTGTCTGAAACTATAACGCGTCTACGTATTCAACCAATCGAGCTTGTGACGAGCCTTTCG